TGCACAATGCATTCCCACGTGAAGATATCTGAACTCTAAATAGCACCACAGGCAGCACAACTGCTTAGCACTCTAGTCGCCTTTGCGTGCTCTGTGAAACATGGGCTAGATAGTTACATCCTCCTAACAGGAGAATTAGAGCATAGTCAGGTATCTCCATACAGCACCACATTCTTATGTGGAAATCCTACAACTGGAATTTCAAAGCAGCTTGTAGGATGCCATATTCAGGCAGAAGGTTTTGTTTTGTTGATACGTACACATACAGACAGCTTTTATACATAGACACACGTATATTTTTATGTGTTCATATATTTCCCCCCAACCACCAGTTAAACCTGCAGATCTGTTATTAGTATTACATATTTGCTACCAGAGTTCAGTTAATCATTTTCCCATATTATAATGAAATTAAAAAGAAGAAGTTTGTCTCAAACTGACAGAAAACACATTATTTTCTGGCTTATGCAATTCAGTTACACATGAATTTAAAACATTTCCTATTTCAATCCAGAGATTACTGTGACACCTTCTCAGAAAAACAAAACAGTACACAATCTCTGATGTTCACTTTGTCCGCACAAGGCAAACAAAAGCCAACACCAAACTCCAGCACACCCATACCACCAGGATATTCTAAACCCCATCTAGAATTTTAAAACCACTGTACAGAATCAGCTTCATTTCTCACATATGAAATAATAAATGACCATTTTAAGTATTTTGCATATTTTAAAGACTCACGTTAGCATTCTGATGTGCTAAATCACCTGATAATGATCCTTCAGACACAAAAGCCAGTTTTGCAATAAAGTATGTATGTGTAGCTCAGTCCACTGAGGCTCCCCGAGCATGAATCCTCAAACTGAGCTGCAAGAGCAAGTGCAACAGGGACAAAAATACTGCCCTTTCAAGACACGCTCCCCCACCCCATTTAGACTGAAGATTAGCACTACTTAACTATGCTAAGAAAGTTACTCTTTCCCTGTTCCTCAAGAAAAGTTGATGACACATAACAGGAGGAAGTTTAAACCTGCATCTTGACTTCGTTTCTGTATGCCCACATTCCCTTCCTCCTTACTTTGCCAATAGTCCTTAAGTCAACTTCAGAGAAACAGACCCTATAATCCATATATATCAATTCTGAATAAATTCTGTGACAGACACCACAGCTAAACTCCAAGCTGCACTCAAACCAGCAGTTTCTGTGAATTAACTAAACTTAGTAAGAAGCACAATCACATTTTAGGCTAAGCTATCATTTTTTTTTATTAAAAGTCTAAAATCTAGTATTAAAAAAATTATGATGGAGTAATGATTTCTGATAAAAAACATAAAGGTTTTATGACACAGTAACTAACTTCCTCATTCAGAATTATTTAAGGCAGACCACAGATTAAGCTTTCTGTGTAGTGGTCTTCTCTATAAAGGACTATAAGAATAATTTGATTTTTTTTTTTGTTTTTATCAATTATGTAACATTATCGAGCTATTGTCCAAACATAATAAAGGTTACAAAAATACACCTCAACATCAGGAAGGTAAAGGCTGAGACACATCACAACACTGATCCAGGAAGAAATCTGTTGAGTCATTACTGTTGGGGATGGTCTACGATTTGTTCATTTCGAATTACTCCTCTTACTTAACCAAGACGATCAATGTTACCATCTATGTGCAAGCAAACGTACTGCTGTTGAACTCACATGTCAGAAGACACAACGATTCACCAATCTATAATGTAATTAAGTGCAGCTAAGTAAATTATATTTCTATAGTGTTTTGTTTATATACCTTTGAGAAAGTCTGTTTCAGAGGCAATTCAGGTGGCTAAGCCTTGGGCTAGATCAGTTTCAAGTGTGTGGATTTACCTTAGACAGCTTTAAGCAATCAGATACTGGCACAAAGGGAAACAGAACTGTTCTCAAGAGTTTTGTTAAAGCACTAGAATATAACACCCTTTTAAAAAAGGAAATTGGGAAACCTGCTTCCAGCATTTCATATGTGGAAGTTAACAGGGTGCTGCAAACAGTGGGAGTACTTAAGCATGCTGCAAGATGCTGAGCTGTGACTAATAGCCTGTCTGTTCTTCAACAGCAGTGATTTCCTGCTTCACTTAAGGGAGAAGTTATGCATGCATATCAACACTAAAAATGAGCAAGCATTGACCTAGCTGTTGCATTAATATCTTTTTAGAATAGCCTATTTCACTTCCTGAATTACTTAAAAATATATGTTCGTGTTTTAATTGCTTGGATTTTTAAATATGATGTTAAATAAAAAAGCAAACTATTAGTGAGAAAGACACTTATTTGTAAGTGTAGGATAGCACATCTACAGAGTTATACAACTTACTTGACTCTGTTCAACAAGTAGCTATGTTATAATGTATCTGAACTGCATTAAAATATAATTTTAATAATATTTCAGTAATATATAGATGATATAATATATATATTTTAATAATAATATAAGATTTAGGTTAGATATTAGGAAAAATTTTTTTACTGAGAGGGTTGTCAAACATTGGAATTGGCTGCCCAGGGAAGTGGTTGAGTCACCATCCCTGGAGGTATTCAAAAACTGAGTGGATGGGGTACTTCAGGACATGGTTTAGAGGGCATGGTTGATGGGTGGACTCGATGATCTTGAAGGTCTTTTCCAACCTAAATGATTCTATGATTCTATAAAGCAGGAGGTTAGTATGAAAACATCCAGTATAAAATTCTGAGTTAGTGAATTATCCATTTCATTCCTTACCCAGGGTTACCAAAAGATTACTTTAGATGTATATAAATCATAGTCTTTATTGCAGGAAATACAGGAATGCAGTAGATATGTCAAAAGTCGGTAGGAAGAATGTGAACATGGATATGGTAAGGGGCTGGCTCACGCAGTGGTTCAGCTAAAAAGTCTTATAAAGATTCTTTATAAAAAGTCACTTACACAATCTCCGCCACCCTTAAATGTCCTCTCCCTATAACAGCAGTAACAGTATATCTTTTCAAAGCGGTACACAGAAGACATAATATCAGAAGTTAAGATATTTTGATGCTATAATGATCAAAGATATTAATACTTTTCTTTTACTATGCAAAATAAAAGATTAAGAATATAACAGTGAACGTAATTTCAGATGAGCTCTCATCAGTATTCTATTCAAGTAGTCTTCTTTTAAAATTAATCAAAAATTTAGAAGATTATGCAAAGTAGTCTGCTGCACAGACTAAGTCTTTACTATTAAAGTCTACTTAGACTTCGGGGGGGGGAGGGGGAATATTCCAGCTAAATCATATGATCATTTTGTAAAGTAATACCCATAACAAGTAACTTTGACAAATCCACAGCTTATGTTAAATAATGGAGCAATCCAGCAATTTTTTAATGCATCCTGTTTTATTTGTTTCAGTACTTCCAAAACAAAACTAGATTCTGAATGTAATTGAAGTACTTGATTCTCATTATGGCAATATGGTTTTTTTCTCATTTTAAAGCCTAGAGAATAAACATCTTTACTTCATATTGAGAACCATAAGTCTATCATTTTAAAGCAGTAAGAAAACTCAAGCAGATTGACAGGCTGTCTTGGGTTAGATAGTTGCTCTGTGTTTTACCAAAAAAGTGCAAATACACAAGCATGTCTCTTGTAAACAAAAGCATAAAGTGTGCAAATTATTACTGAACTATGGAAGCATCATTCAGATTAAAATATATTGCCTCTAGCAGCAACAAAGCCTTTAAAGGCATCATTTTTTTAAAAAATCAAACCAAAACTAAGTATTTAAAAGTGATTCCAATTTGCTAATGCATTTTTCAGATTTCTGTAAGGTAAGAACAAAATTTTATTACCTATACATGCCTTAAAAGTCAGATGCACAATAGAAACAGTGTATGGAATACATACCCCTACAGCCCCCTACATTCCAGTCAGTTTTATGCTTCTTAGGGTTCAGAATAAGCAACCAGATCACTGGGTACAGTGCTCATACCTCATAGCACTTTCCCGTCAGAAAGACCTCATCTTAAGACCTTTAGTGTACTCCCATATATGTCAGAGACACAGCAAATCTTACTGTCTATCATCAAGAAATGGGACTATTCACATAATAGCGTTAAGATCTTCATATTCAATTGCTCCATACCAATACAGATTACTCTAGGTAGTCACATGTAAGTACAATTGGTAAATAGTACTTTATATAACTGGAATCAAGCAACAATATTTACACTTCCAAAAAAATACTTATTTGACTTAAAAAAGGGAAATAACTCATTTACTGCTCATTCATGCCCCACACTTGATTCATGCATGAAAAGCAGCAACAAGATAAGTAAATTCTTTAGCAAAACAAGGTTTGAAATTCTGAAAATACCATTTTGGAGGCCAGAGACTACGCTTACAAGATTAGTCTTTTAAAAGATGGACAAAATTCCCACTTTATAATTTGCAAACTTTAAGAAGCTTTGACAATGAACTTGGTTTTATCATATTACATGTATTGTCACCCTATGAAGGCAAAAATAAATAACCCTCTGATTACTTCTAGTGAAAGTGAAACATTGATCTGCTTCCAAAAAACCCCTATTGTGCTTTAAAATTTGCCATTTAAGTAAGTTTTATACATAGACCCCTCTAACTATTGAACAAAAATCCTGAATAAACGCAGGAGACAAACTCCTGCCGATCTGAGTTAACACCAGAGGTCTAATACCAGCAGGTGAAATTAACACCAGGACATTTCAGAAGCTCTCAAAAGGTGGGTACATCTTTACACCTAGGGGAGCAGGCGCTAGAGCAGCTAGGGCACCCACCTTCGCTGGAAATGAGCTACCTGGGAACGTAACAAACTAGTTTGGCCAGCAAGAAAACTTTCTAAGCATACATGTTTTCAAACCTAAGCCTTTACGAAAGCTTTCAGGTAAGCTCAATTCACACTCGGCTCCAAGCTAAGCAGTCTGTGTCCAAAATTTGACAAAGATGACTCGCTTTAAAATGTTACCTTCGATGTTCAGCTCAAAACAAACGTGGCAGAACGAGAGCGTTTCCTTCTCGGTCCCCAGCTTGCAGACGCTGCAGACGTTGTCATCGTCCAAGTCGATGCTCACAAACTGCTCTTCGTTCATAGTGCCCTTGGGGGGTGGCGACAAGGGAGGGGACCGTTATTTCAACCGCCACCCCGGCGAAGCACCGGCCGCCCCACGCCTGGAGAGGCGGCCGGCGGCACCACACGCCGCCCCCCCGGGCCCCGGCCCGCCCCGACACGCCAGGCCGACAGCCGAACGAGGGAGGGAGCGTCCCGGGAAAGTTTCTTC